GTCCTTAGACATCTTTTCTTGGACAACAGGCATCATTCTCAGGACACCTCAGCTTCTCTGATTCCAAATCTAGAGGTTCCCAGATAATCCTACTAGTCACAAGCCTCAGTACAGTTTGGTAGCATCATTTAAATTTGGCTCTCCAATCTTGAAACTTCAGAGAATTTCAGTGTATATTACCATTTGATGTTTCTTTCCTGTACCTGATATAAGAATATTTTTAAAAAAATTATGAGGGTCCTACTGTAAAATGAACTCTTCTGCCTTTTAAAATTGCCAGACAGATACTTTAAAAACGGGAAAATAATTTCACTTTCCTTACTATTATCAACATAATTTTATGTGTAAAATCCTTTATGCAATTTTGAGAACTTATTATGAAAACATACTCAAAGCCTGAATATCCATGATACATAAATTTGGAAGCCAATCATATACATGTATATACTTCTTAAAGAAAATAATCTAATCCTGTTGCTGTCCCCAAATTTACTACTCCATTTAATTAGAAAACTTTTACATTACATCTTTGTCTTATTACTTTGTCTGATCATTCCCTCCCTTTAGGAAGATATCATCCCTATATTATAATTTAAACACAAAGACAGGTTAAAATTGTAAGATGTTCATATTTGCATCCTATTAATATTATGTTTCAGAACATCACTCTGGGATTACTTCCAAACTAGCTGACTTTCTTGCCCTAACAATGAAGCTATTAATCTTCAGAGGGAAAAATTATTTAAGTGACATTTACTTTCATAGAATTTTATAGAAATTCATTCTTATTTTCTGTTAAAACAAATTCTACAGAGTGGTACCCCAAAACTCACTAAGATATTTCAGAAGGGAGTGAGTTCCTGGAAATACCCAAAGTCCCAGAAGTTCTCTCCTACAATCTTAAAATGATTAACCTCCAAACCTTCAAAGTTTGCTAAGATGTTTTTAGCAGTTCTACCACTTTGATTATCTCACTTTATTTTTGTCATTCCAACGTGGCTAAAGCTGAAATGACAGAAAAAAAAGTGACTTACAGGTTTTTTTTTCTTATAACCTAATCTCCCATGAAGCTAGTGTTATGTGTGTCTGAGGCTAGATTTGAACTCAGGTCCTCTTGACTCTAGGGCCAGCATTCTATCCACCTAGTTGCCTCTTCAAATGGTTTTTAAAAATCTAAATAAAGTTGACTGGTAGTTTCCCTTTGTACATACTTATTTACCTCCTTAAAGAAAGAAAATAGTCATGATTTCCCTTTACAATTACAGAAACAAGGTTGATCCCTGCAAAATATATTATGCTATTGTTTCTCTTTTTGGCAGCTTTGACATTTATTACACATGCCATTGGTTTGCCAGGTTTTTGAATCAACTAATCTCTTACTTGATCTGATTAAATTTTGTTAATTATAAATTTGAAAATAACATGATATTGGGCATCTCACTTTTAAAGAAATCATTGTCCTTGAATCTTACATAGGCAGCTAGGTGGCTCAACAGATAGAGTGCTGGGCCTGGAGTCAGAAGACCTGAATTTAAATCCAGCTTCAGATATTTACTAGCTATGTGATCCAGAGTCAGTCACTTACTGTCTGTTTGCCTCAGTTTCCTCAAATGTAAAGTGGGGATAATATGAGCACCTACCTCACAGGGTTGTTTTGAGGATCAAATATCTGTAAAAAGCTTTTTTTTTAAGCACATAGTAGGTGTTACATAAGTGGAAGCTACTATCATTATCATTATTATTATTATAAAAGCCTAAATCCAAGGGACATCATTTCAGATATTCAGGAAGAAATATAGATTTGAGATGACATAGGAAAAGCTGTACAACACACATAACAAGTGTAAAGCCAGAAGCCATGAACTGAATACGGTATTTGCTTTGTCTTCAGATTGAGATGCTTATGAGTTTTGTATGTGTTGAGGTTTAGGGGCCTGGGGTGGTGGGACCCCAAAATCACAACACTTGGGTCTTGCCTGAATGAATTTGACCCAAGCCTTCTCTCAGCCAAAGACAAGGTTTATTAGAACATCTGTCATATTGGCCAGACTCCTAAGGAATCTAAGCATTTGTAATGCTAATGCAAGGGCCAGATCTTAAGACTCTGAGCACCTTAATGGAGACAAGATGAATCTTATATACAAAAAGACTGTGGGAGGGAATCAGGAGTGGACAAGAAGTCTGGGGTGACTGGAAGAGGGGTCTAAGGAGGATCTGGATGGGAGTGGCCAGTAAGCTGGGGTGAACAGAACACCAGGGACCTAGACCATGTGGCCAAGGGAGAATGGAATCTAGATGGGATGAAGGGTGGGAAGTGGCCCCGGGCAATCAGAACAGAACTGGGAGATTGGGTGTAGCCACAATGAAAGGCCAGTTTAGTGGATTATATCCTTAGGCAAATGCCTGAAATTTGAGATGTGTCCAGGGATTTTCTTTTTTGGGGTGTTTTCCTTTTAGGGGTGTTAGAAAAAATCTGAAACAAAAATCTACTACGGTGATTGAATGAAGAAAAGTCTTCATTATACTTCTCGAGAGGGAACCGGGCACAAGGAACTTGAGTAGCATGTGGGCGCTGGGTTCAGTGGTAGAATCAATTTTTAAACAGTAAGATCCATACTCCACCCACCAGGGCTACGATTGGTCTAGTTCATCTGAGTTACACTCTTCCTTCCCATCGAAGGTTCTTCCATGTTCTGTTAATTCCACCCACTTCATGGGTCCCATGTTAAAAAATGGCAGCTATCTCCGTCCTCAGAGTGTGTCAGTTAATATTTAATAACCTTATTAAGCAAGCACCTCAGAGAAAAGCCTTTGCCGGGTGGAGGCCCTGTCCTTGACCCTGAGGGTTGCAGCTGGTTTAGCCTCCAGGGCTCTTTCTTAAGGAACTAGTCCTTTACAGAATGTTTGGGGCACTTTCTGATTGGTTGAGGGACTATCCACAAGATCTTGGCATTTCTTAGCCTGCTGTGGAAGCCCAACCCTCTGAAACCCATCCCCATCATAAGGACGAAGGTGAGAAATACAGGACAAAGTAAGGAGGGCAGATGGGCTGGTCGGAGATTTCTAACTCAGTATAAAACCTGCAAGCTCTACTCAAGGAATGAATTATGAAATCTCACAGTTGGAAGGGGTTTTGAGCCTAACCTGAACAAAAGTGTTCTCTACAAACAGTCCTGAAATGTAAATCATACAAAGTCTGCTAGATAGTCTTCAAACAGGAACTATAAAGTGAAGATAATTTTAGCACCCTACCTCCCAGGGTGATTGTGAGGATCAAATGTATTTGTAATGTGCTTGAAAAGCACAATGCCTGACACATAATAAGTGCTATATAAATACTAGTTATCATTATCTGAGTTCATAATCCTATCTTCATACACTAGCTGTGTGACTCTGGACGTCACTTCCACCTCCCTCAGCCTCAGTATCCTCATTTGTAAAACGGGATAATACTATCAGTGTTGCGAGGATCAAATGAGCTAACATGTGTAAAGTGCTTTGCAAACCTTGATGTGATACATAATTGCTAGTTATTATTACATGTCTCTTCAATCCTATGGCTTTATCCTCAGTCCCCTCCATTCTGCTCATTGTTATTTTTTTAAAAATCAGATCATCCCAATCATATTTGTCTCCTATTCAGTGTTCCAAAAGTCTTAGTGCAGTTTAAAACTATTAAAGCCTTTCATTGTGTCCCTTTTCATCTTGACTCCTTGGCCTACCAGCTATCTCTCCCTCTCACTTCCTCCTGTAATGAACAAACATTTATTTCCTCTTCTTCCCACTAGAAGAAAAAAACCTCCCAAATCCTTGTAACAAATATGCATAGTCAAGGAATGAATTTTCCAGCCAATGAACAAGTATTTATTTTCTTGTCTTCCCACTGGAGGAAAAAACCCCCACAAATCCTTGTGACAAATATGCACAGTCAAGGAATCATTCTCCCTTTCCCCTCAGTGAACAAGCATTTATTTTCTCTTCCTTCCATTGGGGGAAAAAACCCAAATCCTTACGACAAACATGCGTAGTCAAGGAATGACTTTTCCCCTTTGTGAACATTTATTTTCACTTCTTTCCACTGGAGAATCCCTGGATCCCCTCCCCACCAAATCCTTGCAACGAATTTGCAGAGTCAAGGAATCCTTCCCCCGCCCCAACACGTACAAGCATTATTTCCCCTTCTTCCCATTGGAGGAAAAAACTAACAAAATCTTTGTAACAAACACGCACAGTCAAGGAATGAACATTTATTTCCTCTTCTTCACATAGGAGGGACCCCAGCCCCCCAAATCCTTGTAACGAATATGCATAATCAGGTAATTCTGCCCCCCCCAGTGTACTAGCATTTATTTCCCCTTCTTCCCATTGGAGGAAACACCCTCCCCCTCAACAAAATCTAACAAATATGCCACATAAGTCAAGGAATACATTTTTTCCCCAAAAAAACAAGCATTTCCTTTCTCTTCTTCCCACTGGACGAAAAAAAAAAGCCAAAACCCAATCCTTGTAACAAACAAACAAATCCTGCACAGGGCAGCTTCTGGAGGTGTGCCAAGGCCTGCACTCTTCTAGCAGAATTGGAGGAGGGGGATGACCCCCTGGGGGGGGAAGTGGGGGTGGGATTCAGCGAGGCCAGAAGGGGCCCCACCACCCTCCGTGCTTCTGCTGCGAGCGGGGAAATAGACCCTCCTAGGGGGTAAGGCGGAGGAGTACAGTCGACGCGACCCCGCAGACCGAGGTCATCGAACTCATACGTGACTCTGGCCCTCAACCGCCGCCAGGGGGAGCGCGGGAGCCCATGTGTTCCGGGCGAGGGGCCGGGCGAGCTGGGGGGAAGGGGTGGGAGGGGTAGGGAAGCGGTGGGCCTGCGCGTGCGCGCACGCTCAGCTCAGCGCCCCCCCCCCCATCACCCGTCCCCTTTCCCGGTTGGAAGGTCACCGAGTGTCTTGTGTGCGGTGTGACTGCATGGGGGGTAGGGAAGGTGGGAGTGGCGGTGGGATGAAGCGGAGGGCAGGTGCGCCTGCGCAGTACCGCCCGGGCAGGAGGAGGGCAGTGATGGAGGGAGCTTTGACAGCCCACCAGGTAAGAGGGGGCTCTGGCGGTCTGGGGAGCCGGAGGCGTGGAGCTGGCAGGAGGCGGGGGCGCGCTCACTAAGCATTAATCCATTTCTGGCTGGCTATGGGTATCCCCTTTGCCATTCTTCTTTTTCATTCTGGGCTCCACCGACTCCGCGCCCGTCGCCTCCCCCCCCCCTCCGCTTCCAAAGTTTTCGTTTTGAAGAATCAGCCGGACTCTTCCTCCTTCCGTGCTCGGGAGCCTTCTGCCTTCTCATGTCTGTTGGGCTATCCTGATTTGGACGACGTGTGACCCTTGCACCCATGCACCAGTTTTGGCTGAGGGAAACTCGTTTTAATACTGAAACGCTGCAATTCTTAGACTTCATTCAAAAAGTATTTATTTAAGTGCCTACTGTGTGCCAAGTACTGTGCCAGGTATTGGGAGAGGTAAAAACAAAACTGAATCGAAAAAACATCTGAGGGCCCACTGTGTGCCAGGTACTGTGCTGGAGTGGGATGGCGGTGTAAAAAATAGATTCAAAAAATCATCGTGTTAAAGCGCTTACTGTGTTAAATGTAGCCAGGTGGCCAAGTGTACAGAGTCTGGGATTGGTCTCAGAAAGACCTGAGTTCAAATTCGACCTTAGATACATCTTAGCTGTGTGACCCTGGGCAAGTCACTTAACCCTGTTTGCCTTAGTTTGCTCATTGTCAGATGAGCTGGAGAGGGAAATGGCAAACCACTCCAATATCTGCCAAGAAAACCCCAAATGGGGTTAGGAAGAGTGAGGCTTGACTGAACAATCACTATATGGGGCTAGGCTGGGGGTGGGGTGGGGTGGGCATAAAAACAAAATAGAATCCTAAGAGTATGTTAAGTGTCTCCTATGTGGGTGTGGGTAAAAAAAATAGACTCAAAAAAAAGCGTTTAAGTACCTACTGTGTGTCAAGTCCTGTGCTAGGCTGGAGGGTGATAAAAAAACAGAATCCAAAAAGCATTCAAGTGCTTACTCGGTGCCAAGGTGCTGCCTTAGAAACAGTTCCTTAAATTCTGTTGTGAAGAAGCACAGATAAGCAGATATGAGGTATGCCAAAAGGCTTTAAACTTTAATAGTTTAAAAAAAACTGCACTGACTTTTAGGATACCTTGTGGAGGGCTAGGACCAACTTTGTGGTTTCGTGAACATAAACAACTCTCTAGGAATGCACTTCAGAACCTTTTCTGCAACTTAAGTCTTCGTAAGACGCTTTTTTGTCTGGGATTCAGAGACCACAGAAATTAAATTGTGGGTGACCCAAAAGGCAGTAGAGAAAAGTGTGGTGGGCATAAGGAGCCTGTCCTGTGTTATCAAGGATGGCTTGGACATTGATGTGGATGTCCCTCCTTGCCTTGAAGACTTGGTTCACATGCCAACTTTTGAAGGCAGCCTTTCCTGATTCTCCTCCTGCCCTCAACCCCTGCTGCCTTCAAAGGTTACCTTCCACCTGCTCTGTATGTATCTTCTTTGTGTACACACACACACACACACACACACACACACACACACATACACGTACACACACACATACATACACGTACACACACACATGTATGTATGTGTAGGCTGTCTTCTGAATATAAGCTCTTTGAGAGCAGAGACTTTATTTTTTCTTTATATTCCCATTGCTTAGTACAGTGCCTGGCACATAGGACTTAATAAATGCTTGTTGATTGACAAAAAAAAATGTGTATGGAGACCATTCCTAGAAACCACTGAGACTTGCCTGGGGTCACACAGCTAGTATGTCAAGATGAGTCTTGAAACCAGGTCTTCCTGGTTCTGAACTGGTGTTGTATCTACTACTCCATACTGCATCCCAATAAAAATATACGTACAAAATGAGTAAGGATTTGTTTTTGAAGGGGAGGGCACTAGCAATTTGTGGGATCTGGGTAGGGCCTCCTTCTGTGTGGAAAGTGGCCCTTGAATTGAGCCTTGAAAGAAGCCAAGGATTTTTCATGGTGGAGGTGAGGAGGGAGTGCAATCACTACACGTGGGACAAATCAGGGTGACAGGAAATGGAGTGTTGTGTACCGGCAGCAGTGAAGAGGTCAGTTTGATTGGATTGTGAAGTATGGAAGAGAGTGCATATGTCTTCAAAATAGCCACAGTTAAATTTCAGAAACTTTACTGGCCCCAGTGAACCTTAAATTCAATATGTCAAAAACCAAGCTATTCATCTTTTTACCAATGTTTGTATGCTCTTTGGATTTGCCTATTTCTGACAGTTCTCCATCATGGTCTCAGTTATCCAGGCTTGAAATATTTAGTTGTATTTGACTTCCTTTCCCTCTGTTCACATCCCAGGATCACCTGTCACTTCTTCCTTCCTAATGTTTCTCAGGAGAGACAGGAGGTATACTACCTTGATGAAATCCTAGGTCTGGACCACTAAGGTTGATTGATAATTTCACATCTTTCCCTTCCCTCCCATTCTGTTTCTGGTACTAATCATCTCACAATGGCTACAGCAGTACTCGATGAATGGGTCTCTACGTCTAATATGTACCTATATTCTGTTTGCTCTGTACCTGCCAATAAAGTCTGAGCTCCTAACTTGGCATTTTAGGCTTTCCCCTAAATATGATCTCTAATGTGGCTCAATGGAAGAAAAACTATGGATTCCAAAGACCTGGGTTTAGATTCCAAATTTGCTCCTTTCTGACTGGTGTGTGCTTCCTCAGGTGAGTCATTTTAAATTTTCTGGTCCTATTTTCTTATCCAAAAAAGGAGGGGATTAGCATATTTGACCACTTAGTCAACCCTACAGCTATGATCACATGAATCCCCTGCTCTACAGAAACTGCAGCATTCATTGAATATGTTGTGCCCTTTCCTAACTATACCTTGACTTTGTTCTGCTTTTCTGTCTTACTTGACCATAAAGTTCTAGACCAATTTTCACCTTCACAAAGCCTTTCCCAAATGATCAGCTTCTGAAGGTTATGCCTTCATTCGAACTCTGTCGCCTCTTTTTGTGACTATTTGACAATTAGTGTATATTACTCTGTATTATTTTATATGTATGTATGTGTATATATGTCATACATATACATATCTTTCTTATTTCTCCATAACTAAATTGTAAGTCCATTGTATAAAGCAGAGGTTCCAAAATTTATTTGGCCTACTGCCCCCTTTAAAAAAAATTACTCAGCACCCCCTCTGGAAATCTACTTTCTTTAACCCTTTAATGGCTATTTTTTAAAGTTTGCAACATTTCAAAAAAATGGCATCTCAAATTTAATAATTTATTGTAAATGTGTGGGTTTTTTCCTGCATTGAAATTTTGATAACACTGTATTACACCATGTAACCATATAGTATCATATTGTAAACAAGTCATTACACTCACATATTCCTGCCTATGCATCCTGGACTTACCGGCAATATGCCACATGCTCATCTGCCAGCACTTGCTTGTTAAAACCTATTGGTGGACTTGACCCCTGATTGGTTGTAACTTGCATTTTGTGTGTTTATTTGGAAAATAATGTAATCATTACGACTTTAACTCTGTTACACAATAGATGAAACACTTACTAATTGTTTTTCAAAATTCTCTTCTTTCCTTATGCTTCCATAACCATTCAAGTTATTTTTATTCAATGCCCCCAGTTGCACCGGAGTGTCCTACTGTCCCCTGAATCGGTCCATCGCCCCCCCCCCCCGGGGCACTGTTGCCCACCTTGGGAACTTTTGCTACTAAAGGCACATATATATATATGTATACAAGTACATATGTATAATTTCTTCTCAACTAAATTGTAAGTCCATTAACCTGGTTAAAGGCATTGGTAGCCTGCTTAATCAAATCTGGCTGGAGATGACACCAGGCTGAGAGGGACTGCTAATACACTGGATGACAGTTAGGATCCATCCTGACAGACTAGATTATTGAGTCTTCCTCTCCACCCCAGCTCCTGCCTCGCACATGTGGACTTCGGTGTACATATTGATATTCCCTCAAATACTCAAGCTTCCAAGTTATTCAGTTTATTCAGCTCCCACGACCTACTTCTCTACTCCACCTTGGCTTTACGCAGGGATGGTCATGCTTTTGATCTTGCTCTGTCATTCACAGGTGTTCATATGTGTTATGCTTCCTTGTTCATAAACTCCAGAATCTCTGAACCTTATTGTAATTTTTTCTCTTGAGGTGCAGTGGAAAGAGCACTGAACTTGGAGTCATGAGACTTTAGTTTGTATCCTGACTCTACTTCTTAATGTCTTGCATGGTCTTCCATGGACAAATCACTTCTCTCTCTGTACTCTAGTAGCCTCATCTTTAAAATGAAGGGATTGGTTTAAATAGTCTCTAAGGTCCTTTCTAATTCTATATCTATGATTCTATACCTAAGCCTCATCTTTGCCTTCACTGTTAACTTCCAATCTCTTCATCTTTAGTAGGTTACTGACTGCACACTCCTCCCTTCCCATTCTTGACCCCTTAGTGAACCATTTCAGCTTTGTATGATCTTCTGCTCCTTGAATCCATTTCCCATTTTCTTATTAATGATCACATTTTGCCAAAACCCAGCCTTCCTTTGCTTTTGCTTATACGCTAATGAACAGAGCTGGAGGAAGTCATGAAACTGTTCTGATTGGGTCTATTACAAATTTATGTTATTTAATCTCAACTGGGTCTCCACTGCTCCCAGGTAGCCCTTTTGCTCCTTCCTAATATATTCTCTATCCTTCTCTTCATAGCAGCTATTCCAGACCTCTTCTTTCCTCCCCCATGATACTTCTAGCCCTCATCTCAGCTAAGAGCTCTCTCTTAAATCTTCAGGCTTTCCCTAACTAGCAACTTCTTTCTTTCTACCTACAAATAAGACCCTGTCCCCTTGATCTTGAAAAAAGCCTCTCTTGAGCTACCATCCACGTTAGCTATCATCTTGCAACTTCCCTTGCCTTCTTGGCTAGGCTCCTTGAATAAGTGGTATACTCTTTGTGCCTCTGCTTCCTGATGAGTGGAGGATTA